GGCACACATACTCAGGTGTACACACACAACAACAGCAACATATGATTTTTTTTTAATATGTAAAAGACACAGGGCCTGAAGAGATGGCTTATAGCACTGACATACTCTTCCAGAGGATCAGGGTTTGATTCTCAGCATCCATATGGTGGCTCACAATCATCTGTAACTTCAGTTCTAGGGCATCTAGCACCTTCTTCTGATCACCACAGGTACCAGACATGCCCTGTATACAGACATACATGCAGGTAAAACATCCGTACACATATAATAAAGCAATAATGAAATTTTAAGAAGGTATAGCTTCAGGCTGGGCATAGTAGGTCACACCTTTATTCTAAGGAGAGGTATGCAGATCTCTGGGGCCAGCCTGTTCTACATAGTAAGTTCCAGGATAGCCAGAGCTACAAAGTTAGAATATATATATGCTGTCCAGGAGATATGCTGTGTCTAAAAGTCATCCTGTGATTGACTTTTGTATTTGTGTTTTTGTGCTAGTGTAGGGCTGAAGATGTGGGCTCAGTTGCTAGTGGGCACAAAGACCTGGGTTTGATTCCTAGTGCCTGTAATCCCAGCACTCTGGGGGTGGAGGAGGAGGATCAGAAATTCAAGGCATCCTCCGCTACGTAACGAGTTTGAGGCCAACCTAGGACACATGAAACCCTGTCTCAAAACAATGTACAATTTTAATTTTAAAAAGTAAACCTTAGTCGACCACAGATGTGTTCAGCACCTCATACAGAATATTCTAATGAAGGTGAAATGCAGATAATCTTTTCCTAGGGTGGTGTGCCATGTGCATTTCTCTTTCTGTTATCTTTTGCCCTTTGAGTTCATTTTCATATCGATTTGTGTGGTCCATCTTCATTGTACAATACCAGAAAAATGCGGGTGTGGCCAAGGAGGCAGGGTTCATTTCCCCCTTTTCTCATACAAGCACATTGCCTGTGCCTGTTGACTTCCTCCCCAAGTTATTTCATATGTATTGGACACATACACTTTAGCTTCTCCCCAAGTTATTTCAGATGGATGGAGGAACCCAAGTTATCTCGCAAATAAAGACTGTTTTTGCATCGAAGTTGGTCTTGTGGTGGTGATTCGGGTTCCAGACTTTGGGTGTAACAATGTCTTATGTATTGTACACATGTACTTGTTTTGCTTCTCTCCAAGTTATTTCATATGCATTGAACACATACACTTTGGTTTCTCCCCAACTTTTTTCTTAAGTACTGAATGCACCTCTTTAAGCCTCTGCCACTGCCCTGCTGGCTTTCAGCTTGTTTATACTCAAAGCTCTTTCTTATCTTCAGGTCCTATACTTGTCACCTCAGCCCGGAATAGTCTGTCTCTTTGCATAGCTGACTTTGTGTCTCTCTGGGTCCTCGGGTTCCAGCCTAAGATGCTGGTCCTCAGAGAGCTCTTTCCCACTTCACAAGAAAGCCCTTCCTCTCTTTCTAATGTGCTTTTCCTCAGTAGTCTTTCCCTAACCTATTTCCCACAGCACTCACCACCATTCACAGTAATATATAACAGTCTAAACTCACATATGATAATGAAGGTTTGTAAACTCATTACAACAGTATCAGGCACATAGCTATATGGCAAGAGATTTAGTTGGTTGATTTTTATTTGTTAAGATGGGGTCCAATGTGCCCCAGGCTGACCTGAAATCACTCTCTATATATATATAGTACAGGATAATCCTCTCCTCTCTCTCTCTCTCTCTCTCTCTAGGGTTTCTCTGTGTAACAGGCTATTCTGGAACTCACTTTGTAGACCAGGATGACCTCAAACTCATAGAAATCCACCTGCCTTTGCCTCCTGAGTGCTGAGATTAAAGGCATGTACCACCACTGCCCAGCAATCATGGATAATCTTAAACTCCTGAGCCTCCTGACTTCACCTCTTGAATGTTAACACTACAGATACATGTCACCTTGCTCATTTGATCCTGGGGATCAAACCTGGGGCTTCATGAATGCTAGGCAAACACTATACCAACACTCCTAGAACATACAGGATTTCACTATGTAGCCCTGGCTGACCTGGAACTTGCTATGTGGAACAGGCTTGTTTCCAAGTTGTGATCCTCCTGCCTCTGCCTCCTATGTGCTGGTGAAGTATCTATCAGGCCAGTGACAGACTCTGTCTTAAACTAGTGGAAGGTGCCTGTAACATTCATGCACGCACACACACACACACACACACACACACACACACACACACACACACCCTCTGTACCGTGCACATCCCCTCATATGAATCTATGTATACCCCATAAACATAACTTTATCGTGAAAATTATTTTTAGAAAATCAATTGCTTTCCAAGTGTTCCTTGAGCATGGTCAAGGCCCATGGGCTATGGTTCAGGTTGGACCATCTACGGTAACAACAGGGCTACATGAACAGGAAAATAAGATAAAAAGACAGCAAAGAAAAGGTGTCTCCAAATGCTGGTTTGCTCAGTTTCAAAGATTTTCAAAATATTCTCCAGACAATGTTCTCTAACAGCTGGTCACCACACTCATGCCCACTCATGGAATGACCATGGCCCTAAGCCTGACTATAAATAATACATCCACCTGGCTCTCGAGGGAGGATTGGATTAATCTGTTGTTCCATTGAAGTTTCCCTGCTGTCATGCCACAATGACAAGATGAAGCTGGGCCACCACACAGAACGAGATACAGTTACAGTTATAGACACCTCATTCGTGGGCAGCCCATAGGTCTGAGATCCACTTAACTGGTCAGATTACCAGCTCGGAATCCAATGCAGACCTCACAGGGAAGGTCTCGTCACATTACCTTTGCAAATATTTTTATCTTAGAAACATCATAGACTGGCACAAAAACCCCTGACTGTCTGACCCCTGGGTGTGGACTGGGACTTATTTTTGGACCAGCTGACCTTTTTCCTTCATGGATAAACAGAAATCCACAGCTAGAAATAAAGGCAGAGGACATAAAAGTCTAAGAGTGAAACCAAGCGTTTTTCTTACTGCTCTTAAAAGAAGGACACAAAGTTTAGACTGCATCAGAAGTTCCCTGTGGCTTTTCAGAGCAATCCCTTGCTTAAAAGGACACCACAGTTTTGAAGGGCAGCGTTTGTTGTCATTCAATTGCAACCAACTTTCAGTGATTGAAAGAAATAGAATATGATTTTGAGTTAAAGGCTGGCTCGTCTGCATTGCAAGGCTCTTCACTGTGCGATGTTGGGACCCCAAGATGCAGGTGAGTTTCTCTTGCTGCCACCCTGTTTTCCCTCTTGGTGGTGACTGTCACTTTGCTTCCTCTGAGAACAGGGAAGCATGTGTCCATCACAAAATGTGATGGAACAGGTCCTCAAGGCTGCTGATTCTAAGTCTGTCACATTCTAAATGACAGTATAGGAAAGAGAGAGAGAGAGAGAGAGAGTGTGTGTGTGTGTGTGTGTGTGTGTGTCCATCACTGCCTCCAATAGTTAGTCTTATTTTACTTCAGTCAGCACAGTTGACCTCAGAAGTGTGGGTTTAGGATCATGAGGGGGCCTTGGCTGAGATAATGGGTATCTTATAGGGAGGGGAGGAGGGAGATGAGGTTTAAGTAGAAGTTATTCTGGCTTTCTCTTCCACAGCTGGGCCACAGACATCTTTCCATCTACCTGGCTCACAAAGCAGGGAGTAGGGGTTACTGAGATCAAAAGATGGCCATGGAACTGTATCTGGTGGTATAGGGCCATGTTTCCAGCTGTGAGGGAGGCTGAACAGGAGAATCACAAGCTCAAGATGGTTGCAGGTTGTAAAATGAGTCCCAGGCCAGCTGGGTAACTTACTCAGACCCTGTCTCAAAAAATAAAATGAGGGCTTGGGTTGAAGCTTTGTCAGTAAAGGTGCTGGCTGAGTATACATGAGCCCCAGGATTCCATCCCCAGCATAAATTTGTCATGAGGTGGCACACTTGTACTCCCACAACTTGTAATCCTCCCAAAGTGGGTGGAGACAGGATGTACTGGCTAGTTTTATGTCAACTTGATAAAAGCTAGAGTCATTTCGGAAGAGGGAACCTTAAGAAAATGCCCCGGCTCGGTTGTCCTATGGGCAAGCCTGTGGTGTGTTTTCATGATTGATAATTGATGTAGAAGGGCTCAGCTCATTATTGGCATCTTTAAATATTGTTCTATTGCTGCAAAGAGACACCACAATCAAGGCAACTTATAAAAGAAAGTATTTAACTGGGGGCTTGCTTACAGTTTCAGAGGGAGAGTCAATGACCATCATGGTGGGAAGTATGCCTCCAGATTCTTGCTGTGAGTTCTTGCCCTAACCTCCCTCAGTGACAGACCGTGACATGAGATTTATAACATGAAATAAACCCTCTCTTCCCACAAGTTGTTTTTGGCCATAACAAAGACAGGGGAGAAACAGAAGTTCAAGGTTATCCCCAGCTATGAAGGCTGGGGATATAACTCAGTGGCAGAGTACTTGCCTAACACGCACAAGGCCCTTGGTTCAATCCCCAAGTACTACAGTACAAAACAAAAACAATAAACCCATGACCTAGTGATAAAAACAGTCCTCCCAGGACATGAAGTTATGTTATATTAAACCTACCTAGGAAACAGAAGAAATACTACTTGCCAGCTGGAAACAAGGATCAGCGACCAACCTTTGCCTCTACACTAAGTAGTCCTCTGTCCCCAAATTGAAGATACCTTTGATTCCTCAGAAACCAGGTAATCTAGCCATCCTCTCTTCTATGGGCAAGTTAGTGGGCTTAGGCCAGCATTTCATCCAGTTTAGATTTTTTTTTTTTTTTTTTTTTTTTTTTTTTTTTTTTATGCTGTAAACCACACTGGGAAGAGCACATACACAACTCTGCTAAGGGCTGGAGAGATGTTCTCACAGGCAGGGGCACTGGGGCTCCTGTGTTCCGTAGAGTGACTATGAGCCACCACTGAGCTCACAATGCTCAGGTCACCTGTGGGGACAGTTGTGGCTCCACATGTTCTGTTGGGTTCTGATTAAAATCTCTCAGAAGACACCTTCAGATTCCAAGACTGAGCTGGGTGGTATCACGAAGATGTTCCGGTTCTTTCCAGCCACCTGTAAGGGTCTTGTTGTGATGCTAAAGCAAAGGATGTGGGGTGTCTTTGTCTAGGAAAAGGCCCTGTGAGGTTCTGGATGTGCACACAGGCAAACAACAGTAGTTCTGAAGCTGTTTTTCTATGTATAATGAGGGAATTCCTTGGGCTTCTGGCTCATCTTTGTGAGGTCTTTCCCTTTTCTTTAAACAGTGTGTGTGTGTGTGTGTGTGTGTGTGTGTGTGTGTGTGTGTGTGTGTGTAGAGAGAGGGGGGGAGAGAGAGAGATCCGTGTGACTGGCTATGTTGTGTGGAGTCAGAGGACAAATTTTAGGAGTTGGTTTTGTCCTCTTCCATGTGGCTCCCAGGGTTTGAACATGGGGCTTGGTGGCAAGCATCTTTATCCACTGAGCCATCTCATCCACCCTTTATCTTCCTTATTGTTTATCATCCGACTGTCTGCCTGCCGTCCTGCCTACCTGCCTGCCTGTCTGTCTGTCTGTAGGGTCTCTACGTTGTACTGGAACTCACTATTTAGATGAGTCTGCTCTTGAACTCAGAGATCCACCTCCCTCTGCCTGAGTGCTGGGATTAAAGGTGTCCGCCACCACACCCATCACCTTTTATTTTTATTTTTAAACTTGAGCTTGGTGCACACCTCACACGCCTTGTATCATGCCGTCATCTACAAGTCCTGTGAACTAGGCACTCTAGTTTCTTTCTTTCTTTCTTTCTTTCTTTCTTTCTTTCTTTCTTTCTTTCTAGAAGAAACAGATTCAGAAAAAGTTAAATAAAAACCAAGCAGAGTCACACGCCTGTGGACCCAGCTACTCAGGAGGCTGAAGCACAAGGACCAGTTAAGCCCAGGAGTTTGAGGCCAGCTGGATATAAAGAGTTCTTATCACAGGACAGCAGAGAAGGAGGAAGGAGAGGAGAGGGAAGTTAAACACCTCCAGATGCCAGACAGCTAGAGAGTGGAGGACAAATCCAGGGCTGATTTCAGCTCTCTCATTGTGTCATCATCTCTACCACGGAACATTTCCTCCTGCCTTCACCTTGGTCTGGAGTAATGTGGAATTCTGCTTATACAGATGTGCCTTCCCTCACCTGCAGCAAGCACCCATCTCTATATAAATGACAACGTAGCCCTATGGTCCTGTTCTCTTCCTCCCCTCCCCAAACCAGTTTTCACTTTTTAAAATCTGGGCTCCGTAACACTGGCATGCAACTACAAACTATGATTTTTGATGTTTTCCAGATGCCTTAAGCTTGTGCTCATCTTTTAGGGAAACTTAGTTCAGGTTTTTTTTTTTTTTTTTTTTTTTTTTTTTTCCCTAAATGTGTTATTTCAGCCTTTGAGGTTAACTAATAAATCACAAGTTCTTGGACATAAAAATCTGGATGCGGAAGGACCTCAAAGATCTGTTCACCTAACCCCATCATCAGATGGGTGGGGCCAGCCAGTGGTTATGGTTACCCTTTGTCAGGAGAACTCAGGACCTGACTGGTGATTTGGGAGCAAAAGCTGAGGTGGTTTTACTATTTCTAAGGTGTTGTTCACCAATCAAAAGGAGCTGTCTTCTAAATGGATGTTGCAGAGTTTCTTTAGCATAAAAAGGGATTTGTACCCAGTGGCAGCCAGCTGTGCCCTGAAAATTTTTCAGAAATATCCCCCAAGACACTTGGCAGCCACCACTCTGCCCTCTGGGTTGTAGCGGCCGCTAGGGACTTGCTGAGGCAAAGCCTCACTGGCAAACCAAACCTTCTGCCCGGGTCCCAGTAGAAGAGGGATGTTTGGCTATGGCCTGCCTTCCAGGGTCCAAAAGACCTCACCTAGGCATTTTTCTGTCAATCCTATGCCAGTGGTTCTCAACCTTCCTAATGCTGAGACCCTTTAATACAGTTCCTCATGTTGTGGTGACCCCCAACCATACAATTATTTTCACTGCTACTTCATAACCATCATTTTGCCACTGTTATGAGTCTTAATGTAAATATCTGATATGTAGGATATCTGATATGTGACCCCCAAAGGGGTCGAGACCCACAGTTTGAGAACCACTGTTCTATGCTCTCGAAAGACACAAGAGGAAACCTTTGGGAGACGGCACAGTAGAAAGAGCACGGAGACATATGTGAGGTGAAAGAAGCCAGGCACGGAGAGACAAGGACTTGATCCCATCCGCATGTAGAATCCAGAAAAGCTGACCTGAGGCAGGGAGATGGCTGAGCCTGTAAAGGTCCTGCTACATGGCTCGAGGACTTGAATTTGACCCCCAGCATCCATGCAAGAAGCCAGGCATGCTGTAGTGTCCTGCAGTGCCAGTGCTGAGGAGGCAGGCAGCACGGAAGGATCCCCGGGGCCGATCGCCAGCCTGTTCATCAGCCTTGAGCACCAGGCTCAAGGAGAGATCCTGTCTCAAAAAACAAGATAGAGAGTGGTTAAAGAAGACAACTGTGTTATCTGCTGGCCTCTACATGCATATATATACACGTGCAAACATATCCCCACACAAACATATACTCATTCAGTCAGTGCACACATACACACAACACATCCACAACACACATACACACACAACACACACATATATAACACACACATACACACAACACACATATACACAACACACACACACAACACATACACATACACAACACACACATACACAACACATACACATACACAACACACACATACACAACACATACACACAACACACACATACACAACATATACATATATATAGGCACACACACAATACACACAACACACATACACATACATGTGCATGAAAATTAAAAAGCTGGTCCCATAGAAGCAGAGAGCAAAACAAGGGTTAGCAGGGCTATAGCAGGTGTAGGCAGGACCTGGTCAATGGTTACAAAGTTACTCTAGGAAGGATAAGTCCTGATCTTCTATTGCACAATGAGGTACTTAACAACGATAAATATTTCAAAATAGAGGAGAAGATTTTTAATATTTTGCTACAGAAAATAATACATGTTCAAGGTGATAAATAAGTTACTGTTAGGTCCACTGTGGTGATGCATGCCTTTAATCTTACCACTTGGGAGGCAGAGGCAGGCAGATGTCTGAGTCGGAGGCAAACCTGGTTAGTATAGTGAGTCCCAGGTCAGTCAGAGCTAAACAGTGAGACCTCATATTTTTTAAGTGCTACTACTTCATATCAAAACATCACATTGTGTGCCACAAATATTTATAATGTGTTAATTAAAAAATAAAATACCACTTTACAAAAGACAATTGAGTGGAGAACTTGAGTGGCCGTGTGTGAGCTGAGTCAGCTTCCAGAATCACATGACTCGGAGACATCAGGAATGTGTAGATAAGCAATGGGCAGCATATGTCAAGTGACCTTTTACCTGTGTTTCAAGCTCTCACTCTGAGAGAACAAATCCACACTTGATCTTCACCAAAAGACTGAGAAATGATGAGAACAAATGCCAAATAGTACCTCCTGAGAGAGCTTGATAAGGATATATCATTAAGTACAGACCACACCTCCTCAAAATTTAATGGATAAAAACTATAACCTTCCCATCATTCTTTTTCTCAGTAGCATTTAGGATGAGTTATCCTTTGGCTGAGATTTCTGCTTTCAGATTTGTAAATGAATTTCTTTGAATGAAACACATCTGTTTTTGTTCCTGCATAGAAAACAGAGTAAGCATAGCTCCCCACATTATTCTTCTGTATTTACTAATGAAGCTGTTTTCTCTTCTGACAGCATAGAACACACAGTGGGGAACATTCAATGAAAACCAGGCAACATATTGTGACCGTTAAGAACACTGAGGCCAGGCAGCAGAGGACCACAGACATCAGCCCACAGCATCATGGAAGAGGCTGACTTTTCAGAAGACACAACCTATAAACAACAAGAGGACTTGCCTTATGATGGGGACTTCTCTCAGATGAAGACGTGCAGTTCTTACAACTTTACCTCAACAAATGACACTCTGGCTGTCCCAGAAGAAGTTGTTTTGTCAGAAGAGCCCCAGGAAAAGGGTGCATGCTGTGAAATGTGCCAGAAAGCAGCTGTGGTCATGACTTCCGATAAGATCACTGAAAGTGTTGTCAGCAACGGGCACCATAAAGATAAACAGTGTGCCTTGGCTTCTTGTGTCCCAGCTAGTAAAGGAGAAGCCTCCAAGTCACACATTTCAGATATTTTACTCCATCATCTCTCCAGGGAGTACTTCTTGAGGGGGCAAGGCATTGGCTATGAAACTCTCCCAGAGACCTTGAAGGCTCACAGTCTTGGTGGTGCGGCTATTCTTACAAACGTCATTTCATGTTATGCAAAGAATTATTGCCCCAAAGAACAAACCCTGGCATCCACTGACCAACCCAGTCCCAAAAGTGGTGCAGAAAATAGCCATAAGCCCAATTTCTCTCCAGGCACAGCAGGAGAAAGCACCTCTCCTTTAGAAAAGCCAGTGACTGCTGGGCAGAACAACCATCAAGAATATCCAAGCTTTTTAAATAGAAATAAAGATCCAGGTGATAAACAAAAAAACTGCCAAGGGCAGCAGAGACAGCTGACTGAAAAAGCAAGTTCAGGCACCCGGCTCAAATACAGCCAAGGTCAAGTGCATTACCAACTTCAAGACTTTTCTAAGGTTGCTCCCAAAGTGAAAATCCCTAGAAATGCCATAACTAATAAACTACTCACAATAGTTAACCAAGCCAAATGTTCTCCTAGGTTGAGAAATAAATCAATAGTTGTGCAAGACAATTTAGGAACTATGTCTGTGCCAAATTGTGTTGAAAAGCAACAATCAGAGCAAAACAGGAAATTTATTGAACTTTCACAACAAACTCAGGTAAATAAGAGTGGTCCCTATCAATACTGACCCATTGTGGTCATTCTAGGGTGGTCACCCAGGGTGATCATCCATGATGGTCATCCTAGGTGGTCATCCAGGGAGACCAACCCAGGGTAGTCATCCCAGGGTTTGCTTATACACAGAGCTTGGTTGCAGTTCTGAGGTTTCATTCATTAGGACTCTGGGTTATCCTGGGCAAGTGAACAGGCCTCTCAGAAGCTCAGTGGTAACCTCATGAAAAAAGAATCAGAAGCTGGATTCAGAAAAATAGGAAGATAAAATCCAAATTCCTCAAAGCTTCTTTCTTTTTCTTTTTCTTTCTTTGTTATTAGGTTTTTTTTTTTTTTTAAATTTGGTGTGTGTGTGCATGTATTTAGTTTATTTGTTTCTTTTTGTTTTGGTTTTGTTTTTCTGTTTTGTTTTGCCAAAGTCCCTCTATGGTCCTGGTTGACTTGGAACTCAAAATGTAGACCAGACTGGCTTTGAACTTACAGAGATCCTCTTGCCTTTGCCTCTAAAGTACTAGGAATAAAGGTACGTGTTAACATGCTGAGCCTCCAATATATTTCTTTTCTTTTTATTCCAATATATTTCTTAACTTCATCTAAATTAAAAAACATTGTTTGAAAGCTGCATATGTTTATATAATAATGGTCAGAGTCGATTTTGAACAGTCATTTATCTCTCTGGCATGTATGGGTTTCTCAGGACCCTAAAGGTGAACCACTCAAGAGTTTAAACCCCTGTCCAGTCATCCTGCAGCAGTAGGAACCATGGCCATCTTGATGAGTTTGTCATTAATGCATATTGTATTATCACTAGTTCGGCTGCTGTGTCTGGTATTAAGAAGAACACCAGCAACAGAGCTTGACAGTGGCCCTTGCCCTCATGGAGTTTATGTCTAGGAGAAATGTTGACATGTTCTACATGCTAATGTCAAACACAATCACAATTCAACAGCAGCCCCATAAGGCACATTCTCTATTGTTCCCACTTTACCGCCAGGAAATTTGTAGGTCTACAGTAATGAGCAATTGCCGGTGTCACCCAGTCAGTGCTACAGTGTCACCATGAAATTCAACCTCAACGTGGTGTCACAGCTTGGACCATAGCATTGTGCTGCCTGCATTCCGAACAACAGTGTCATTGCTTAGTCCCCACAAACAATGCCTTCTTACTCTTTAATTTTGCAGATGGAGCCTGCCACACACACCTGCCAAGAAGCTCTCACAGGTAGCAGCTTACACTATTATTTGGAGAAGCATTTTGAAACCTTAAAAAATTATGCTGATTGTTACAGACTCCTAGTTGTAACTTTTAATAAAACTGTGGTAAGTAGAAGTGAATGGTAGCCAAACTTAGCCTTTTTTGCATAGGAGTCGAATTTGAGAAATGTCACTTGAAGTCGATCCCAACAACCCAGAAAGATACTTCCCTAAATTCTTACATATTTCAAAAGATCTTCCAAGGAAAACAGATGTGCCAGAAACTGAAAGAACAGACTGACCAACTGAAGACTAAGGTAAAACTTAAGTGTGTGTGTGTGTGTGTGTGTGTGTGTGTGTGTCCTTACATCCCCATGTGCACGCATGCATATGAAAGTCAAAGGACAGCTTACAGGAGTTGGTTCTCCCCTTCCACTCTGTGGGTCTCAGGTCATCAGGTTTAGCTGAAAGTCCCTTTGTGCACTGAGACATCTCACTAGCCCCTGACACCTTCAAAGTCTGTCAATAGCAATAGAAACAAGGAACCTCAAACTGAAGAGGGCATACTGTGAATGAAATATTGCATCTTTTTCAACTGCAGGTACAAGACTTTTCCAGACGAATAAAACAGGACTCTCTCTGTCATTTGCAAGACATAAGACTGGTAATGAACTTAATCCAGTTTTTTAAATCTTTACTTGGGAATTCCAATGGGCAAATGCAAAGGCTCCCACAGAACTGGGTAGTCCGTACAGTGGTAGGAGAAGAAAAAGGGGAGGAAAATGAGCCTTTTCTGGAGCTTACTTTCTGGAGCTACATGGTTTAGAATTCTGTCTCCATATGTATTTATTCTTCTCTTCTTCTCAAGGAAGTTATACTTAGCTCTCCAGTCACCTTGTGATAAACCCGAGACCTTGGAATGTTCCAGAGGAGACCATGAAAACCACTATAAAGGGCAAACCTGTCCAGAATGGTTGGGGCCTGGTAAATTTCAATTGCAAAAATAGCTGGTATCTGGTAACTTGACATGGAAGACCGAAAACACTTAGAAATGAAGCTCAAATCTTTCAGATCCTAACCACATACTTCTACACCCTTGCCTGTTTTCACAGCCAATCAAATGACTAATTAGTGTTGTCACCATAACAGCTTTGTTGTCATAGGAAATGGAGGTGTAGCAAGGGGGCAAAAGTTGAAAATGGACAAAACACACGAGCTAAAGATGTGGAAGATGGAGTTTAGGCCACAGGGAACAACCAGAAGACCTAATGTAGCCAAATTCTGGGCAAACTGTGCTACAGAAACCCCACACAATTTATGGGCCAAACCCAGGAAAGGACCTAGTGATTATCTGTTTACTGATTCATACATTCATTTATTCATCATATTAATTAACTGCTCTGTCATTCAGAAAACACTTGTTGGAATTTTTTTTTTAATGCCCCAAGCACCTGGGAGTTAGAGAAACTCCTCCTTTGCAAGCGTCTTTTATTCTACTAGAAGCTGTTGGTGAAGAGACCATTAGAACGCAGCTTATGGGATGTGACAACCGATGCCATTGCATCCTAATGGAAGTTCATCCTTTGTCATTGAGGGAAGACTTTGGATGGTCCTCAAAGACACCATTTGGGTATTACAAGAGGAACACAGTGAGCTTGGCAGAACAGGGGCGAGAATCTTCCAGACCAAAAAGAAACAGAAAATGCAATAGCACAGGGGCCACACACAACTACTGTGAAGACCTGTGTCCCCCCCCCCCCACACACACACACACAACTCATCAGGTCAAGCTCAGAGTGCACACGAAGACTATCAGGACAGTCAAGTCCTGGAAGGGCTTGGATTGCATCCTGAGTTTGATGGTGGAGAAACAGGGAAGGACTTGAAACCAAGGATAGCAGGCACTATGGGCTGAGACTGTAGGTAGGGACTGGTAAAGAATAACTTGACAACACTGGGCAAGCTATAAGGATCTGAACCCATGCTGCAATGAGGATGGAGAGGGTGTGTGTGACAGAATTAAATGGAAAAAAACATCAAGAAAAAGAGATGTGGATAGTGATAGAATCCTGGTTTAGATAACAGAAGACAGAAATCAGTGGAGTAGCCAGTTTAGAAAGGGCATGGCAAGCAGGCCAGGAATTAAGTACAGCTTAGGAGGTTCGAGGTCCCCTTAAGGACCTTCAAATGAGGAGATCTAGCTGTAGGAAGTTAGAGCAATGGATCTGGCCCTCAGGGGTATTTGGGTCAGAACAGAGGCTTTGGTGGAATGGTTGAAGTTATGGTGTGGATGAGATGCCCCCAGACAACAAAGAGAGTCACGGGGTAATTGGCAAGGGCCAAGGACAGAGTTCCAGGTGACAGGGGAGCCTGGGATGAGGTGGGGAACAGTGACTCACTAAGGAGACTCGAGGAAGGACTCCCAGGGTCAAGCAGACCTGAAGGAATGTTGCAGCCAGGAGAAAGAAGGTTGTGAGAAGCAGGAAGTGGGCAACATGGCATCATGAGCGCAAAGAAAGAAGGAAAGTAAGATATGTGTGGGTTTAGCAAGCCAGATATCAAAAGGGCCCTTGCCAATCTTGGAAGCTACATCTAGAAGCCAGAGGGTGGGGAGCTAAGGAATAAATGATTGACAAAGGACGGTGTCCAAATGGAAGAAAGCAGACTTTTGTTTGTTTTTCAAGACAGGGTTTCTCTGTGTAACAGCCCTGGCTTTCCTGGAACTCTGTCTGTAGACCAGGCTGACCTAGAACTCACAGAGCTCTGCCTGCCTCTGACTCCTGAGTGCTGGGATTAAAGGCATGCACCACCACTGCCTGGACAAGAATGCAGATTTTTAAAGGATTCAGCAAAGCAGAACTTATTTGAGTCACTGGCCTTCAGGGGTTTCAGTTCAAGAAATTTCTTTCTGCTTGTACAGGCTAAACAATCCTTCCATTCCTAGTGGACATTTACAGCTATAGCTCCTCAGGGGGTCAGTCTGAGAGCTGCAGGCCACAGTATTCAGTGCTAGAAGAAGGGCTAAAGCCAACCTTCTCAGAACAATGTAGAGGAAGGCATTTGGACTTCAGATATATAATGTTAGGCATATGGTAGCATGTTGTCCTTAATCTCAGCACTGTTAGCAAATTAAAAGAGATAAATCATGCCGTCTTCTGAAATATGATTTAAATACCAAAACCCATTTTGAACTTTTAGGCCGAGTCTTAGTGTGTAAACCCAATAACCTAGAACTCATTGTGTAGAGCAGGCACTCCTTGAACTCGAGATGATTCTCCTGTCTCTGACTCCCATACACGGAGGACTATGGGCATGCACCACTATGCCTGCCTTCTCTTTCCTTCTTACCTTCTTTATTTTGACCTTGTCCCCTCTCATCGCTATCACTGACATTTTCCTGCTTAGAGTTCCTGATGGCTAGCCCTCACTCTTTGCCTCAGGGTCTGTGTTCATCTTGTGGAATTCACTGTGAGCTCTACCTTACCCCACGTTGATACTCACTCAAGCCTACTAGCCTTCCCTAATTCCTCACTTGGGTCAGACCTGTCCCACGCCTTCCACCTTCCATCCGAAATACCCCAGTGACCTCCGTGAGAGCTCACAGGATCAGTCAGCATCCTGTCAGGGACTGGGTGGTTAATAAAGGAATTGCTTTACAACAGCCTGGACAAGGCTAAGGGAAAGCCATGAAGAAGTGGGGAACTACTTCACACTCCCCCCCCACCCCCCCCACCCCCCGGCCTGAAGGAGCTGAGGAAATGCATGCCCCGGGGCCTAGGGGAGCAGCTGCAGCTACAGGAGTAGCTGAGGTCCGTGGGTTTTGGTAGAAGGGTGCAGCCAATGTGCCTGTGATGGTGCAAGAGTAGGAGAAATCAGAGAAATCAGGACTCTCCCTCATCTGTAGGAACTCCTCTCCCCTGCTGCCGTCTTCCTTTGGCTAAAAATAACTGAGGCCGGGGCAGAAGGTCCTGATATGGCAGTGCAGCCAGGGCCAGCCTCCTGCAGAGAGAGACACAGGGTGGCTGGCTATAGAGACAAGGGAGAAACATCTACCAGGTCAGCCGTTTGTGTGTCCATTGGTCAATAGGTTTCCAAAGTCATGTTTATTCATTTGCAGTAGTTTTTAAAAAAGATTATTTATTATGTATACATCATTCCTCCTGTGTGTATCTCTGTAGGTCAGAAGGAGGCACCAGATTTCATTATGGACCTTTGTGACCACCATGTGGGTGCTGGGAATGGGAATTGAACTCAAGACCTCTGCAAGAGGAGAGAGTGTTTTTAGCCTCTACACCTTCTCTCCAGCCCCAGTACTTTTTTTTTTTCCTTTGAGGCAGGGCCTCACAATGTAGCTCGGGCTGGCTTGAAACTTGCCGTACAAACCAGGCTGGCCTTGAACTCACAGAGCTCCATCTACCTCTGCCTTTAAAGTCCTGAGATTAAAGGAAGATGTATGCCACCATGCCCAGTGATTTCTATATTAATAGGAATTTATAATAACAGCAGTTTGACTTAACGGGTTTTTGACTCAACGTGATGTAAACATGATACCCATTCCATTGATGGCTAAGACTGAGGGTGAGGAGCCCACGGATCTGACAAAGGAAAAATGTTAAAGCTTAAACAATAGCCTTTGTTGTCACATTAGACACTTTGAACATTCATACTGAACTTTCCATTTTCTGTGGAATCATTCTCTTCTCTCTCCACTCTAAATAATTTTAAAATTCATTCCAGAACTCCAGGCTAAGCTTATTTTTATTCATTTCCTGGTATGAATTAAAGGAACCCATTGAGTAGACTTAATATCTGTCAGCTCTTTCCACTCATGGCATTTAACAGGAAATCTTGATGCCAGAATATTTTAACGACTGATGTTTGGAAACAGCATCCTAAGGTATTTTTCTCCAAGGCACAATTTTACTTTTTAGAAAAACAAATGAAAGCTATCTATGTCAATGCTGCATAATTAGGGTTTAATACTGGTTTTCTCACCAGAGGCTTGTTTTATATTTTTGTTCCTGGGGGAAAAATTTGCCACATTTCTGCTTTTTAAAGGAAATTAATAGAGTAAGTATATTTGTTTTCCAGGGAATCTCTCATTTTGACAGCCATTTTCAAGACAGACCTCTGTCTGAAATTGAGACCAAAGTTATACAATGTTTATTTATATCCTAGCTACAACCACACTGTGTCTGCTATGAATATAAATCAGAAGGGTTTGAACTGCAATTATATCCCATATACGGGAGAAGCTCTCTACAGTGGGATGAGGGAGGGACCCAGACTCCAGTCTTCCCCCACACTTTTTGAAGCCACATCAGGACAAGCAAGGAATAGCTTGAGATGGGCTCTCAGCCTCATCTGGGCTAACCCAACAATGGGTAGCACCCCATGCAATGCCAGGGTCTTGCAGAGTGCAGAACCTTAGCAGAGGTCCACCCAATGGCTAATGTAGATGATGTCTGTCTGCAGGGGCAAGAATTTGGTAAATTTGTTGAGAAATCACTTGCTCCTTCAGCACCTGTGCTCTTATTACCTTTTGAAGCTAGGTGTGATGCTGCAGCCTGTAATCTCAGCACTCAGGCTGAGGAGACAAGAGGATCAGGAGTTCAAAGACAGCTTGGGCTACATAGTGAGTTTAAGGCCAGACTGGGCAATATAGGATCCTATCTCTAAATCAAAATAGTTGCACATACCCATCACCCTGCATTTGGGAGAAGAACACAAAAAGATTAGCAGTTCAAGGTCATCCTCAGCCATTCTGTGAGTTCCAGACCAGCCTGGGCTACATGAGACTCCATCTCAAGTAAAGAAATGGATAAAAGGACTTTAAAAACAGGATGTATCTCAGTGACAGTGCTTACCTAGCAACACACACAGATTAATATGCAAAAATAACTGTGGATCGGATTAGTCTTGCTAGTTAGGATAAATCCAATAGGCATTTGTTTTTTACACATTAACAAAAGATACTGTAGTCAAGAAATTAGTCTACCTCCATCAATCTTTCGCCCCTGATAGTTCCAGAATCCAATCTTGTCTTCCATTTTACAGAAAAGATCATAAATCCCCTCCACAAATGTCTTTCCTATTAACTCCATGTCTTTCTTTATCACCATCTGTTGTCTCCAGGCATGTCCTTTACCCCCCCCCCACTTTATACTACCTCACTTTTTCTTCCCATTGGAGCTTGAATCCAAGGCCTCGTGTATGCAGATGTGGTGGTTTGAAGGAGAAGGTCCCTCATAAGTCCATGTATCTGAGCATGTGGTCCCTAGATGGTAGCTCTGTTTGGGGAAATTTAGGAGGTGCAGCCTTGTTGGAGGAAATATGTCATTGGAGGCAGGTTCTGAGAATTTAAAGACTTATATCATTTCCCATTCACTTTACTGTTGGTTTTTTGTCTTTGCTCTTTTATCTTCATGCTTGTGAGAGCTCTCAGTTCCAGCTGCCATGCTTGCTGCTTGCAAGCATGGACTCTGTCCCTCTGGAATTGTTAGCCCAAATTAGTCCTTCTTCCTGTAAGTTGTCTTGATCATAGTGTTTTATCACAGCACCCGAAAAGTCACTAATAGCCCAGACAAGCACTCTACCACTGAACTGTGTCCTCACTTCTTTGTCATAGGTGTAGTCTCTTCTTGCCCCTGATTTCTATATTTTTAAACTGGTGTGTGTGTGTGTGTGTGTGTGTGTGTGTGTGTGTGTGTGCGCGTGCACGTATGTATCGGTGTGGGTACATGAGTGTCATGGCATGCATGTGGGGGTCAGAGGCCAACTTTTGGGTTCTCCTTCCTCATGGTTGAGACAGGATTTGTGCCAGGCTGGTTATTCTAAAGGTTCTGGATGATTCTGTTCCCTCCCCCTCTCCCCCCATCTCACCACAGGTGCTCTGGGTTTACAGCTGTGAGCACCATCACATGTACCCAGTGAAGTCTCAGGTTGTCAGGCTTGCAGGACAAGTACTTTTTCCTAACTGAGCCACCTCACCAGCCCTGATTCCTTCAAAAAATTTCCTATTTAATCCAAAGTCATTTAGCTGAGTGTTGGATAAAGTGTGTTCTTATATAAACATGTACATATGTTCATAACAAACTTGTTAGATTATTTGTGGATTTTTGTTTGCCCTCCTATACATTCACATAACAATTAATTTCTTCAGAATCACAGCTCTTAGAACTGTGAGAGTTGGGGGCGGGGATGTAGTTTGCTTCTCATGCTCACTTGGGTTTGATTCTCAATGCAAAACTGGGTTCCCCTTCAACAACTCAGCAGGAAGACTTAGTGTCCAACTTGAGCACTCTTTCTTAGCAGTGGGCCAGACAGCTCAGCAGGTAAAGGCCTATGTTGTCAAGCCTGATGACCTGAGTTTATAACCTGGGACTCAAGGATAGGAGAGGGCCAGCCTCCAGTCCTCGGACCTCCACCCAACTGCTGTGTCACACTTGCACACAGATACAGGTACAAAACTTACATGTACAAAATAATAACAGGAAAAAAAAGCAAACATGAGTGACCTTGACATCATAAGGTCCAGAGAAGCAAGGTTAATCCTGCCAGGGTGGAGTAGAGATGTTGGAAGCAGTCAGTGAGGATTGGAGCCTGGACTGATGACATGAAACTCTAAACAGGATGCTACTCTAAACAGGGCAGATATGCATTTTCCTTTCTGCCTGGAGATACAAATGGCATTGCCCAGGGTCCTATTTATGAGCTGTCTTCCTTAGCTTGACTTAGCCTACTTAAGTACCTACTCAAGAAGTGGGCAGTGTAATCTTCAACTTGGAGATGCTACTAGAAGACATTAAAGGGAAAAGTGATGCACATGGGTGCCCTTGGGCCCCTTCTCTTTCCTGGTGCTCTCCAGTCATTTTGGATGTTGTGGCATCTGTATCCTCTTCAGCTTCAGATGACGTAATACAGTCGCTTACAGCCTAATGTGGCACCAGGAGAAACGCTGTTTATGTACATGTAGACTCTCAACTCTTGTGGGCTTGCTGGATTCTGTCTTAATCCTTGACTTGCCAAAGCCTCATGAGTCATATTGTTTAAAATGGAACCAGCTTTTCATGAATGGAAGCTAATTCGAGCTAATTTTTGAGACACTGTGTTAGTTTAGGATTCAACACTGCAGTTCAAAAATGACAAGCCCCTAAAGAGCTAGCTCTTCTGAATGAATAACAAAACTTCCTCTGTGGATCATGCCTGGATAAAGATTTTTTTTCCTCCTCATAATTTTAGGCTGCCTCTTTAAATATTATTTTTAATTATGTGTACATGACTGTGTGTGTTTGTCTGTGTTTGGGGGGGGTAATACCTGAAATTAGGCACTGTAGATGGCCAGAGGCATAGGATCCCTTTGGAGCTAGAGTTAAGGTGAGATACCCGATGTGGTTGCTGGGAATTGAACCCAGGCCCTCGGGAAGAGCAGCCAGTTCTCTTAACAGCACAACCATCTCTCCAGCCCCCTATAGTCATGCTTTTAAATAAATAAATAAATAAATAAATAAATAAGCAAGCAAGCAAGTTCAGTAAACTAGTGATTTCCTGAGTCCACTTGTGTGTCTGTCTCGAAAATTAAATTCGTTTGGATTGCCTATGTGTACGGCGGGTTTGAGAAGCAACCACCAGTAGCTTCCTACGCCTTTTGGTTTTTAGTTTTTGTACCACAAGTTCCTTATCAGTTGAGCCCTCGTGTTTAACTTTTTTATGACAGGGTTGTGCTCTATAGTCCAGGCTGTCCTGGAACTTGACACAAAGACCAGGTTGTCTAACTTGGAGTGGCTCCTGCCTCTGCCTCCCAGAGTACAGGGATTACATACATACATTACATACATACATTACATACATACATACATACATACATCAGCCACCACACCCAACCCAACCTTTTGTTTTTGTAGCCTCAATTATCAGACCAATTCAGACGACCTTAAGATGCTGAGAAACTGAGTCATCTAAATAATTGCCTTCGACAGACTCCTTAGTTTCATGCAGTATTAAAGACCCAGCCTGAAGCAGATATTATATTAACTCTTCCAAAGATGTATGTCTGCCTCCTCCAGGCTTCCGGGCTAAATCTCACTTATTCAAAGGTCAGCTTCAGAGGGATGCCATTGTATCTGCCCTGCACCCCCCCTCCACCCCCCACCCCCAAGCACAATTCCTTGCTCTAGCCTTTATGCAATCTTGCCTGTGTCTGGCTTGTTTTGTGCATTGACACCCTAAACACCTAACATGGAGTGGGGGCTCACATCAGAAGCCCTGAGCCCCTTGGATAACATCAATCTCAGTGCTGCCCAAGAATGCCACCACTGGTAGCATGGTACCCTGCTAAGCCTGAGCCTGATGTCCCACTGGGCCTGAACCTGAGTTAGCAGTGGGAAGGGCCTGCGTAAGCCCAGCCATTGCCCAACAAGTCTGCATTTGCTTTTTATTTGGTCCTAAATTCACAGCAACTGTTACAAAGTGATGAGAGCTATATACTCCAGTAAATAGTCCTAAGAGAAAGTCTACTAATAACCCTATTTGTTCAGAAATTCATTCTCTCTTTCTCTCTCTTTTATTTAATTTTTTTGACATAGGGTTTCTCTGTGTAGCTTTGTAGACAAGGCTGACCTCAAACTCACAGAAATCCACCTGCCTCTGCCGCCTGATTGCTGGGATTAAAGGTGGGTGCCACCCACCACCCAGCTTTAATTCATTAATTTTTATAGAAATTACTGGGAGACTCTAAGTGCTTTTGTAGGATTATAGTATAGAATGGAAAAATTGCCTGCCATGAGCATGCTTGTGCCTCAGTGAGGAAAAGTCACATTTACAAACTGAATCAGAATGACTACAGAACGATAAAAGGGCTTTGAGGGGTAATAAGACAGCCTGCATGACCCTGAAACCAGGCTGCCTTAGTTCAAATATTGGTTCTGTCATTTGTCAGCTTTGTGGTCTTGGGACAGTTATGTAACTTCTCTGGGCCTCCATTCCCTCCTCTGGAAAATGGGGATAACAATGCCTGTCTGGCAGGGTGGTTAGCACACCTAGGTGAGCTAATGTATGTAAGGTACTTAAAACAGGGCAGGGTTCAGAGTAAGCAAATCTCCTGGGTGTTAGCTTGTCATACCTATTAAGTAATGGACTGAAGTTAAGTGTGGAAGGCCAGCATCCTAAGGGACAGATGGTGGCCAGGGGCATTTAAACTGTCCTAAGGTGAGATCCCAGCAAGATGAAGAAACTGGAGCAAAGGACAGGAGGCAAAGACACCTTGGGGTGTTTGGGTGCTGACCTGATTGAGTCATTTCCTAAAGCCTACAGTCGTAATGGCTCCTTCTGTGTGTTCCTGCAGATGACCAAGGAGCACACTGGCTGTCTTCCAGGACCCTGGAGCTCAAGAAGTGGAGTGACAGGGCTGCCAAGGGCACAGGAAGTCACCTCCAAGGAGCTCAGTGAGCTGGCCCCAAAGATGTGAGTTCTCTCCCAGGCACCTCCATCACTTATCAAGCCTGAACTGGGACAGGGATGGGGGCTCTGCCTGCATCCATCCACACAGCCCAGGGGCACAGGGCAAGGGTCTCACACTGCAAAGAATGACAAAGGTAGAGTAGCTGTAGGGTATCCGCATGACATTGTCCATGGCTGTCTCCTTCTACAGGTTCAGGAGCACCGAACTAAATTCCCACAGGCCCTTCACCAGCTGGAGAAGGAAGTTCAAAAATTAACATGCACACTGCTTTTTCTTCCTTATTTAAAAAGCAAACAACACCCAAACCTACTTACCTAAGTAGATGAAGTATGGATCTAGCCGCCCAGGAATAAATGGATCACATGGCCATCACCTGGTTCTCCCTGCTGCTCACTCTTTTGGCTCCTTAGTTGAAATTCCTGTTGCCAGGCCTGTGGTGCATGCCTTCAATTCTAGCTACTCTGGAGGCTGAAGCAGGTGGACACAAATCCAAGGCCTGCCCAGTTTGCATGAGTTCCAGGCCAGCACCTACCTTGAAATTGCAAACAATTGGAAAAGACTGGGGATGTGGCTTGGGAGGGGCAGGGTAGAGCGCTGGGCTAGCATGCATGGAACCCTAGGTTTGACCCTAAGTGCCCAAACCCTCAAGCTCCATGGACATCATGATGGTCTAGGTGACCAGCTCACTGGCTTTCCCTTTTCCTTTCCTCCTTCCATCACATGCCTCTTCTCCCTTCCTTTCTCCTCTGTCCTCTTCTCCCTCTCTCTCCCCTCTCTTCTTTTCCCTTCTTGCCAGGGCTCAGGCATCCTAAACTCAGTTTGTCACTGAGCTCCGCCTCAGCCCCAGGCTCTGTACCTCTTGTGCAGCCTAGTGTTCCAGCTAGTGACATTGCTGTCAGTGATGTTTTCACACCCTTTCAGTTCTGGAGGGACTTGGGGTACCTGGACCTAGACCAGGGCTTTCTGTACTTAGGAGTCATCCCACATCTTACTGAAAGATGGGCATTGATTCAGTAGGTCTGCTATGAGCCTGTGCTGCTGTGGGTGGTACCCACAAGCTCCCAGGTGGTACCCATCTGGAGATGAGCATTTGAGTAAGCAGGATCCAGAGGTTATTTTACTGTGAGTGAGTTGGAAATACTTGGATTAAATGTTCTGGCTCTATATAATGATTAGTCTTCTATCGCTGTGATAAAGATTATGACCAAAAGCAGTGGGGGAGAGGCGTGCAGGAGTGGTGGTGGTGATGGTGGTGTAGGTGGTGGATGTGGTGGTGATGGTGGAGGTGGAGGTGAAGGTGGTGGTGGTGGTGGTGGAGGTAGTGATGGTGGTGATGGAGGTGGAGGTGGAGGAGGTGGAGGTGGTGATGGTGATGGAGGTGGAGGAGGTGGAGGTGATGGTGGTGATGGTGGTGATGGTGATGGAGGTGGAGGAGGTGGAGGTGATGGTGGTGGTGATGGTGGTGATGGTTGTGGTGATGGTGGTGGAGGTGGTGGTGGTGGTGGTGGTGATGGTGGTAATGGTAGAGGTGAAGGTGGTGGTAGAGGTGGAAGTGGAGGGTGATGGTGGTGATGATGGTGGAGGTGATGGTGGAGGTGATGGTGGTGGAGGTGGTGGTGGAGGTGAAGGTGGTGGTGGAGGTGAAGGTGGTGGTAGTGGTGGTGGAGGTAGTGATGGTGGTGATGGAGATGGAGGTGGAGGAGGTGGAGGTGATGGTGGTGGTGATGGTGGTGATGGTGGTAGTGGTGGTGGTGATGGTGGTGGTGGTGATGGTGGTGGTAATGGTGGAGGTGATGGTGGTGGAGGTGGTAGTGGAGGTGGTGGTGGTGATGGTGGTGGTGGTGGTGGTGGAGGTGATAGTGGTGGTAATGGTTGTGGTGGTGATGGTGGTAATGGTGGAGGTGGTGATGGTGGTAATGGTTGTGGTGGTGATGGTGGTAGTGATGGTGGTGATGGTGATGGTGGAGGTGGTGGTGATGGTGGTGGAGGTGGTGGTGGTGGTGATGGTGGTGGTGGTGATGGTGGAGGTGGTGGTGATGATGGTGGTGATGGTGGAGGTGGTGGTGGTGGTGGAGGTGGTGGTGATGGTGGAGGTGGTGGTGGTGATGGTGGTGATGATGGTGGTGGAGGTGGTGGTGGTGATGGTGATGGTGGAGGTGGTGGTGGTGATGGTGGTGATGATGGTGGTGAAGGTGGTGATGGTGGTGGTGATGGTGGAGGTGGTGGTGATGGTGGTGGAGGTGATGGTGGTGATGGTGGAGGTGGTGGTGATGATGGTGGTAATGGTGGAGGTGGTGATGGTGGTGATGGTGGAGGTGGTGATGGTGGAGGTGGTGGTGGTAATGGTGGTGGAGGTGGTGGTGATGGTGGTGATGGTGGTGGTGATGGTGGTGGTGATGGTGGAGGTGGTGGTGGTGATGGTGGTGGTGATGGTGGAGGTGGTGGTGGTGATGGTGGTGGTGATGGTGGTGGTGATGGTGGAGGTGGTGGGTTTCACCTCACACTCCATCATTGAGGAAGTCAGAGCAGGCACTGAAGCAGAGGCCATGGAGGAGTGCTACTCACTGGCTTTCTCCCCATGGCCTACCCAGCCTACTTCTTTATGTAACCCAGGACCTCCTGCCCAGGAATGGCACCTTCCCAAGCGGCTTGGCCTCCACATCAAGCATTAATCAGGAAAATGACCCACGAGCCTGCCTTCAGGCAATCTGATGGAGGCATTTTCTCAGTTCAGATTTCCTCTTCTTATATGACTGTAACTTGTGTCAAGTTGATGAAAATCAACCAGTACTAACTGTAATAGGCAGGAAATAATACTAATACAATAATTTGGTCGGGAGCTCTGCTTTATAAAGACTTTTTGCCAAAGAGGAATATTTTAGGTAGATGAGGCATGCGTGGGACAAATGACAAGAAACATAATAAAACCCAGGTCTCCCAAATTGTTTGAGGACATCTCTGTTCTGCTGTTGAAATGTAGTTTCAATGTTAAGTATAGGGATGACTCTGTGAGCTTAGCAGTAATAAAAGGGGGAAAAAAAGGAAAGTGGCTGGGGAACTATAAATATGAGAGCCAGACGTGGTGGTGCATGTACAAAATCCCAAGTTTTCAGAGTTCGAGGCAGGAGGATCAGGAGATCAAGGCTAGCCTGTGCTTTATGAAACCCTGCTGAGAGAGAGAGCAAACAAGTAATGTACTAATTATAAAAGTACTCTGAAATGATAACAGTACAAACAAATTTCCCACCAAGGAATGGTAGCACATCCCTGTAATCCTAGTACTTGGAACAAGAAAGATCAGTCCGTAGTGTATAGCCTTCCGGTCTTTGACTTCTGAATTTCATTCATCTCTTGTCAGGAGCATTATCTTGCTTGCTTCTGTCTATAGTTAACTAGTTTCTTAGAATCACATCCTAGCATTGTAGGGACTGGATCACACACTTGACCTTCTCATGAGGCAGGTAGGTGTCAGTGTGCAGGGCCCACCGCTACATGGGAATGCTAGGCTCTCTAACTCCAGCCCACTCCAGATAGTCTTTTCTTCCCAACCTTTGCTAGCCTGGGAAGTAAAACCTGGTATCTTCCTGTTCATTTCTGTTTGACTGTGAAATTTGCTAGTGTTCCGTTGTTTATTGGCTACTCACTTTTAGACACCAACCACATTTGTAATGGCAAAACCTCAGTTATTTATTCATTTTTTTTTTTTTGTTTTTTTGTTTAAGGAGACAGTTGGGAAAATAGGAAGAGTGTATATTGTTGGTGTGGAAATCTTAATTCTGTTCAGGGATCCCACAAGGAAGCAGCTTTGGGTTAAGAACACACTGGAGTGAGTCACACTGTCAGTTAAGGGTAAATGGCAGCTCAGCAGCTTACTGTTCGGTGACCTTGTCAGGTTCTCTTGTATAATAAATAGTATATCCATCATTAAAGTGGAGATGGCAGAGCTAGGGTGACAGAAAGTCACAGATAAGGGTGCATGAGGAGCATCTGGAAGACCTCATACTATCGGCATTTCTCTCCACACAGAAAAAAAAAAATGAGCAAATAGGATGTGAGCTAAAAGGTTGTAAATAGGAGAGGAAACTAAAGAATAACTGTAGGAGATGCGTTCGCCTCCTTTTATACTAGAAATTAGCACATATTGCCCCCACTCGAGGTTTTCACTAAGTTATTGAAAACATTTTCAGGTGATTATCCTTGATACTGAGAAAGGTGTGGTCAAGCTGAGCCACCCACATTGTTGGCAGCTGTGTAATCCAATCGTGAAACTTGTAGAAAGCAATCTGGCAAGTGTGTCATCACACAAACACGCTCAAAACCTTTGGCCCAGATGTTTCCCCAGGAAGTAATTCAGAATGTGGAAACCTCACGTGTTCAGTTATGCTTATGCCAGTATTGTCTGTAATGGTGGAAAGGGGACATTTTTTTCTGTTTACATGAAGGATGAGACCACAGTGAAACTACACGGCAGCTCTTGTAGTTAAGTTGTGCGATTGTATGTGTTTAAGGTGTTTGTGTGTTCCCATCACTTAGGCTATAAGTCATCCCTAGATCTCATAGTAATTCATGATTACATTTCTTTGAAAAACAAAACCCAAACCAACTTTGAGCTGGAGTACCCAGTAGTCAGACTGGTTTAAAAATTCTCTTCTAGGGGCGATACCTAGAAGCACTAAATGCCGACTTAAATGTGATCTCTGGAACCCACATTTAAGACAGATGGAGTGGCTCTCCTACAGAGTTGGGAGGCACGGGAAGGAGAGTTGCTGGTTAGCCTGGACTACACAGAGCAGCCACAGAAACAAGAGACCAGTTTTCGAGGCCAGCCTGGTCTGCACAGAAAAACCTTGTCTCATACAACAAACAAATTAATAAAAGAAAGAAACAAAAAGACCTGTCTCAGTACGGTGGAAGGTAGAATGTGTCTCTTAACACTTCTGACCTCCACACATACACTGTGGCAGGTGACACACGTGCACACGCATACATTCCAAATAAATAGCAAAACAGCATCTTCTGGGGTAGGGGTGTAGATCACTTCCTTGACATGCATTCATTCCATCCTTGTACCAAAAGAAAATCACCACAACTTCCCAGTCTGTTCATATTGGGGTGGTGGGTGGAGGACTTTGAAAATAAGGGGGAGGGAAAGTATTCTATCTCATCTGTACTCCAGATTTCAAAATGTTTTCGGAGGAAGAAAGAAGCATAAATAAGACTGCAGCTTCCCTTCCCCAAACCAGGCCACCAGAGGCTCTGTCCACAGCGAGAGACATCAGAGCCAAGTGTGGGTTCTTTCCTCCCATCCCCTTGGGCCCACTTCCTGTCTGTAAGAGCTACCTGGTAATTGTTTCTGGTCCTGATGTGGAGAGGTTGTCCCGGTCTGAGCTGTGTGCTGGGCTGCGCTTTGTGGCACAGGAGAATCCAAGCAGTGCCTGGGGAAGGCAGGCGTGTGCAGACATGATGGCACACCATCCACATCGTGCTTTCTGCTGCCCGCTCGTTGGTGTGTGAGGGCTTCTTGAGGATGGGTGGAAGGCTGTGATGAAGCGAGCATGTAATCCAGTGAGCATGGATGATAGCTAAACAAAGCCACTGGCTAGCTACAGAAACCTGGTCAGCCAGCCTTGCGGTCCAGTAGGAGACCCAGTCTCAAGGCTGTAAGGTGGCCAGCAGTGGTCTCTGCAAGCATGTGCATCTGCATACGCATTCATGTGACTGCAGCACACAGTCTTTCCTATCGGATCTCACTTGAGCCCCCAATCTCACGGAAACAAGCCTCATTCCTCTTCCCAGGGCAGACCTTTGAATTTGTAAGGAAGAAATCCTCTATCATTAACAAGCTGTAAGCTGCACAACCCCCATCGGAACAGCAGTTGGCCCGTGTGGTCTCAGGGTATTTGTTTGCGGCTCCTATCAGTTAGGAGAGGCACCACCTCTGAGTGCAAAGCTCAGCTGATTTACCAGGAAAGGTCAAGAGTCAAGAAGGGAGGGGCTGTTTTGCAACCACTATTAAAGTACATAATGGGCTCCAATAAGAGGATGACAAGGTCTGGAGGACGGTAACTTCCTGTTAGAAAGTGCTCCTCCATGTGAGCCACCTGCCACGAGTGCTTTATTAAGTTTCTGGCCCTAGAAAAAGTCAGCGCGGGGCTGGGCTACAAAGGACTGTGCATTGCCTGGGATGGACTGGTACTTCAAGCCTTTGTGGTGGACTGAGCCTCTGAACTGTCTAAGCACAGGATGCCACGGGAGCTTGCTCGCCTGCCCGGCAGCCCTCACTTATAAACTTGTGATCTTCAGTGTACTGAATTAATTAGCAATCCTGATTTGGGATCTTTTAAAAAGGGTTTTATTATGCCTAGTGAAATATTTTGACATTTAGAAAAGATTCTGATTGCTGGACCTGGTGACACACCTTTCATCCTAGGAGAGGCAGGGAGATCTCTGAGTTAGAGGCCAGCCATGTCTACATAGTTTCGTAAATAAATAAATAAAGTGTTAAAGTACCAAATGTTTTCCAAATTCCTAAGCTACAGCCTACAAAAACCTGTCAGTTCTGGCGGGGACCAGTGTTCCAGAGCGAGCATTTAAGATGGAGAAGGTGGGAAGAAAGGCACAAGCCAGTGTAAAAGCACTCAAGTAACTCGGCTGTGGGAAGTCTGAATACACAAGACTCCCGAATTGAATCTTGGTAACGTCTGTGAAGGAGGAAAGCTGTGAACTTTCCGTTAAAAGCCTTCTGTCCTTTATGAAGTTTGATGATACACAAATTGTAAATTGCCTAACTGTGGATACACTGATATGGGAATTGGGATTGGAGAGTCTTTGTCTTGCTGAAAAGCTGCCTTTCCCGGTAGAATTGCTCTTGGCTGCTCTGTTTGGCCGGAAGATCTTAGTACAGACAGGAGTCTAAAGGCAGCAGAGAAATGTAATTGATGCATTGGACTCTGCTCACTTGAACCACATCCAAGTTTTCCACCCGGAGAGCAGATGTTCACAGGCCCCAGAGGCGGAGGGTGGAGACAGAAAATGAGGTGTGAGAAAATACATGACTCAGGAGGAGAGCGTGTTTTTCCAAGAGGAGGAAAGGGCTGGCAAGGGCTTTCCAGTCCCAACCTCAGGAACCCCAAATGAAGTCCCCTCTCCACTACCAACAGGTTTAGGCACAGCTGGACCAGCATGTGTTTGCTCGGCTATGCTTCAAGCCTGTCCCTTGTGTGCCAGGATGTCCTGGACGCCAGGATGTCCTGGACACCATGCCTTTCACACTAGAGCACACACTTTCCTCCAGGGGCTGTTACTGTATCCCGGAGCTGAGCAAAAGCATTTTTAGATGCTATTAGCAATTAAAACTCTTTTGGAGGAGTTAGAATCCGGGTGGAGGGAGGCTGACTCAACACAGGCCAGAGAAGTCTCCCGATTGTACTTGTGTGTTTCTGACGCCCTCTGGTGGCCGTATGCTATTAAAGTAACTCCAGGCTCCCAGCCATTGGCTCCTCAACAAACACAAAACCCACTTTGTCTTGGACTTAGAGGGTCAGAGCGATGTAATCCAGTACTAATAATGTAAACACACTGTTTCTCCAGATAAGAACTGTTCTGAGACAGGTGAGGTGGCTTGGCCTGAAGTCCCAGTACCCTCGAGGTCAGAGGCAGGGTTACTGTTACTGGCCAGCCTGGACTAGTGTGCGATCTTGTCTGAAAAACAAACAAAAATTCTCCACCCCACCCAACTCCATCCCCAAACCTATTTGGGCATAGCATTATGAAGAAAAATCCAATTCTTATAATTCTATACTTCAATTTCCTTTTTAAAATATGTATTCTTTTAATATTTTAAAATTGTGTGTACGTGTGTAGGTATGTGTTGGGGCATATGTGTGGTCAGAGGTCAATTTTTAGGTATCAGTTTTCTCCCTCCATAATGTGGGGATCAAACTTAAGCCCCTAGGCTTGGTGGCGAGTGACCTTACCAACTGAATTATCTCACCGGCTTGGAGAAGAATATCAGAGAAATTTAGCACTTTAGTGTACCCATACTAGTACTATAATTTTGAGACCTCATTTTCTTTTGTTTCTTTTTTCTTTAGGAAACAGAAAGTGGAGAAAGGGAACCCCAAAAGAACCCACTGCATGAAGTTTTCCAGTGCCACCCATGTAAAAACACTGAACCAAGACTCACCTCTCGGTAAGCCGGAGGGGCAGGGTGCACATGGTTGGTACAGCTCCCCCTCTATGGGGTCTGCTCACAGTGAGCAGTGAGCGCCACCTGCCATCATCATGGTCATAGCTTGCCATCCACTAGGATGGCGTTTGTTTGGTTTCCCTTTCTTTTCCAAAATGTGAAGAGCTAATAATGGTTAAGCAGAGTGAAGTACCAATCCATGCCTCTAGATGGACTCTGTGCTAGTCATCTCCTCCCTCCAGGCAACACCCATGGCTGCCCTGGTATGGTTACCAGCCCCATGGGAGCTGCTGGCTCATTCATTTCACAGAAGCCAAGAAAGCTGGGGATGGGAACAGCTAAGAGAGCGAGAGTGTCTGAGCCTTAATAACTGTAGTCATAAGATCCTTGCTTCAAGTAGAGAAACGTACTCTGGCTAAACTGCTGAGGGTGACCAGGAGGCCTGCCTGCTCAGGCTGCTCCTGAAGTGCTGGCATCGGTAGAACCAACCATCCTCGTGAAGGCCAGAGGGCTCATTTGGCATGTTTATGAGCATGGTCCCTGATCCCAGAGCCTTTCCTGCCACTCCGCATTCTAGTAGTTCCCACTTGGTTCTAAGTTGACCTCTCTGAGGATGGTATGTTTTCAAATAATAGCTTTGGAGGGCTGGAGTGGTGGGTCAGAGGTGAAGACTGCTTGTCCCTCTTGCAGAGGATTAGTGTTTCCCAGCACTCAAGAAATCTAATGCCCTTTTTTGGTCTCCATGGACACTTGAGCACACATGTGCATGTGCACCCACACACACTTGCACACATGCGCACACACGCGCGCACACACACACACACACTCTCTCTCACATAAATGAGTATTTAAACAATAGGCTTTAGGAACTGAACACTTGCTAAACTCAATGCATATACTGAGAGTTTTCAAAGCCTTTCAAGGATGTCCTTCTTTACCCAACAGTATTGTACTATAAGGATAGAAGGCCAGCAATGTAACACGTCCATAGGGATGCGGTCTTAGAACTCAGCTCCCAGTACGAAGCCATACCTACCAAAGCATAAAATGAGGACACTCTTCTCACTAGCTTTGGGTTTTGGAAAAAAAAATTTTTTTTTACTTAAAATATACCACTCTGTTAATATAAGATGAATTCATTACTTTTACTTATTTTTCAAAGGGAAAGTATTGCTATGTTGCCTATGCTGTCCCCAAACTCCTGGAAACTCCGCTTCAGTTAGGTAGAGGGGATGACAGGCAGGTGGCCCTGTGTCCACTTCTTGCTGCTGTCACTGCTGGGGTAGAGGATCGAACCCAGGACCTCACGTGCTAAGTAAGGGCTCTGCCACTGACCCACATCCCAGCCCCTGTTATTTTTAGATAAAATAATAAAGTATTTGTAATGTCTGTAATGTCTTAGTTTAAACTGAAAATAATCCTTGGGACTAACTGTTCATTTAGCCTTAGGAAGGTCTGGACACTGAAATAATTTACACTTTACATATCAAGATACCTTTTTGAGTCTATCTGAGATGGGGGGGCTAAACAGTCTATGATGGTTTTTTTTACTGGGGAGACTTTTCATTTTTTGAAACAGGGTCTCATATGGCCCAGGCTAGCCTCAAACTTCCTATGTAGCTGAGGTTGGCCTTGAACTCCTGATTCTTCTGCCTCTTCTTCCCAAGTGGTAGCATTGTGGGCTTGAGCAACCATGGCCTGCCTTGGGGAGAATTATTTTATGGTATATAAAATGGTTCATGTTCTCATATATAGTAGATAAAAACCACACTAATAAAGTTATTTTTAGCACCCCCTTTTAAAAGACATATTTATTTGAGGCAGGATCTCTCTACATAGCCGTGGCTGTCCTGGAACTCACCATATAGACCACACTGGCCTCAAACTCACTGAGATCCACCTGCCTCTGCCTCCACAGTGCTGGGATCAAAGGTGTGCACCACCACACCTGGCTGATACTTGCTTTGAAAGGTGGCACTTGGGCTAGGGAACATTTGTATAATACCGGGGGTTCCATCTGCAGAACTACAGAGGGAAGGGAAGATCTTTTATTCTTCTCTCCTTGAATCTGGGTTCATATCTAACAAAATAAAGAGGTAACAACAATCCAATAACCTCTTTCTTTCTTGGGTCCCTTCTCATAAGGAAGCTGGCTGTCATACCTCAGTGACAAGCACTGAGTCTCCCTGTCAAGTACTATGTGAGTGATCCATTCTAGCTTTCAGTCACTCTCAGCCCTGACAGACATCCTTCTAGGGGACCCTGTGCCTGAACCATCCAGCCCACTTGCTCCCAAATGCCAGAGCCATATATATATATTACAGATAGAACAAGTGTAAAAAAATCGATGTAGACATTTTCAGTCACCACAGCTAATAATTGGCAGAGCCAGGATTCATCCCTAGGTCTTTAATTTGTGATTTATGCTTACAAGCTCTCCTGCCTGACCCTGCACTTCTAAACACCCTGATCTTCCCTGGCATCTCCACAGCCCACAGTGTGCCCAGCAGGTTCTAGATTAACCCCAGCTACAGCATGCCCTCTGCTCCTAACGCCTCAGGACAGGCAAACTTATCACTTGAATTTTCTTGTGAGTTCATGGATATTACATAGGAGGGAATTATCTTTGCAGCCATCCGGATGACAGAACAAACAGTCTTGGGCCTAAGGGGATCTGAGATGAAAAACTTGAGTGTATTGGGGACAAATCTAAAACAAAAACAAAAAATGAAAACACAGCTACAAATGTAAGAGGATCCAATAATCCAGTGGACCAAATTCTCACAATGGTTCGGATCTTTCCTGTGTGTCTGTATGGCCTGGCTATGTCTGGGAACTTCCATATCAGAAAGATCTCCGTTGTCAGCAGGGATCTGAGATGTTCCACACTTCCTGACTATGCCCAACAAACCTGTGTAGCCTCTTAGGTTCTGACCCGGGGCCCAGCTTCCCTCCTGATTCTGGCACTGGGCTACAGAGAAACAAATGTGAGGACAGTGGCAGTGAGGCTAGGAACTCCCAGAGAGTCTGCACTGAAGAACCACCAAGAGGCGAAACTGACTCGGGACTCCAGACGGGTGGGTAGGGACAGTCATCATTCCCAGGCAAGGGGCTGTGTTTTCAACCTTTCTCTTTTATTTAGAATTTCATTACAGATACGACACTCCGGGGCAGGATGACTTAAATCACAGTGGAGGATATACCTCTGTCCAGTCCCACTCCTTACATGAAAATAAAATGTCTTCATCTTGTAAGTACATCTCCTATATGACTCTATCTGTGACATCTCCTGTGTGGTCCTATCTGTGACATCTCCTGTGTGGTCCTATCTGTGATAATAACCGTGTCTCCCAGGGCCTCTCTAGATGACTGCATAGGCTTTCTGCATTTACTTGACACTTCCAAATTCAGGTCTGTATGTGGGTGACAAGAGGCTGAGCAGGGGCTGGGAACTGGGAAATGGTGGTGGAGGGCTGTGAAGTTAGTGACCACAGTCAAGTCAGTAGCAAGCAGATACTCTGAACCAATGGGTGGCTGACTCTACTATTACCATCCCTACTCAGTGTGCCCAGAGGTTTGGCACTCCTTAGACACACAGTTGTTAATTTCCAATGCAAATACTTGCAATCTTTGAGAAAAATTGAAACCCCAACATTTATTTATAAAGATGAATAAGGAAGGCACAGCACCTGTCTCCTAAGAAGGCCCTAACTGAAAGGGACTTGGGCCCAGTAAGGAAAGCTCAAAGCAAAGGCCGTAGGTGCTAAAAGCAAGGCCAAAGGATGCTGTGGGGACAGGGCACAGGGAAGAAGATGCATCTTGTTCTACTCCATTAGCCAGCTGTGACTTCTCTGACAGAGGTACATCTCTTGCTCCATCCCTCTAGAACTCTCTCTCTCTTAGGCAAGCCCCAGGTAGAATGTTTCTCGATTTTCGCAATTGCCAATGCCCAAGACCAAAGGATGCATTTACTTGAGATAATCAGCGGCTCCTTCCTCTCCCACCCTCCCCAGGAGACAAATCCTCCAATTAGATACATTCTTCCAAAGCGAGTCACCATGATTCTGCAGAAGCCACATCACATAGTGGATTCTTCTCTATCTTCTTGGTCTTTGGGGCTTTCCTCCTCCTCCTCTTCCCACCCTCCTGCTCCCCTCTCCCCCTCTCTTCTTCCTCTTCGATGGTGTCAGGGACGGAGCCTGGAACTTCACACATGTAAAACCAGCGCTCTGTCACTGAACTGTACATCCCAGCCCCGGACTTCTGATACACACAGTGGAATGCCACAGAGTCACTGAAACAGGTCCTGAACTCCCGGAGGAAACATAGCAGCCTAAGGGGACACAGCACAGGAAGGCAGCTTTCCTTCAGTCTTGGAAAGGAACCTTTCAGTACAGGGAGCTGTTGACAATGGCTGTCAGGCATCTCATAGGAGAGGTTCAGTGTCGATCTGCAGACTGGTCTAGAACTGAATCCCATGACGCTGTACTCATTTCAAATTCTATTTACAGTAAATTCCCAAGCTACATTTACAGACAACTGAGATTCCCCCATAAGTTATCATCTGTGTTCATGACCCAACACTGGTGGTCCAGCTGCCTAAAGCCGAACCTTTTGGCATTCACCCTGTCTCCCGTGTTCCAGGAACAGTCTGCTGTTTTCTTTGTCCAGTAGAACCCTCTGGAAGGGAGCAGAGCGTCACTATGAGGCATTAGCGACTAAGGCAGGAATGAAGATGAAGAAGGGGAAGGGCGGGGTTCCTAGACAACCGAAGTGTTAGCTACTTTTCTCACTCCCTTGAGGGAGGATTCATTGTGGTTCATGGGCTGAAAGGGTAAAGTCGACCACAGCGGAGAAAGCATAATGGTGTGAGTGGGGGAAGCCAAGTGCATCTTCAGAAAACAGAGCCCTGGCTGGAAGCAGAGCCACCCCTTACGCCACAGCATCTACCCTTCAGTGAGCCACTTCCTCCAGGCAAGTCCCACCGTCACTGAAAGCATCTCCATCCTAAGACATCCATCACCCGGCAACCAAGCGTGAAAATGCATGGCGCCTTACGGGTGGGGTGGGAGTGCATCTCGCACTCTTTGTAACACACAGTGCAGGCTTCTTTTCTCCCCGGACTCGTCCCTTCCTTGCCGTCTTCTTGGTTTCCACAGTGACTTCCCACGTTTCCCTTCATCATCAAGTTTTTCTCTTAATAATACAATCGTCAGTTTCTGACTCCTGAAGTTGGTGGAGGGTCTACAATTCGTTTGGGTTTCACCTCTTGGAAACTGTACCTCCCTGTGCACAGCTGGAAACAATGCCAGGCCGCACAGTGAGCTTCCAAGGAATATGAATGCCTGGTCTCTTACCTACTAATAAATGAAGAAATATGGTGTATTTAGTATTTTGAGGCAGGGTTTTACTTTGAACCCCAGGCTGGCCTTGGGCTTGTGACAACCCTCCTGCCTCAGTCTCTTGAACTCTAGTAGTTTTATGTCAGAGTTTCATGTTGGTTATCATGGCTCACACCTGGAGCACCAGCACTCAAGAGGACTGCTGTGTGTTCAAGGTCAGCCTGGGAAAGAGAGTGAGACTCTGTCAACAAACAAGAAAAAGGCCAGCAATATGACTCAGCTGGTAAAGGTGCTTGCTGCTAAACCTGCCAATGTGATTTCAATCCCAGGTACTCATATGGTGGGGAGAACAAACTCCTGCAAGTTGTCCTCTGACCTCCACATGGGTCAGTGGCATGTGTGCACCACACAAAATGAATCAATAATGTAATAAAAATTTAGAGATAAAGTTGTTTCATGAATTCAGAATTCTTGGAAGAATGCTTTCTGTGTTCCTTACATCACAGTTAAATTTTTATGAACTATTTCATCATACTGTAAAGTTGAGTAGGTAATATATTCCCCACCATTTGGAGGGTTTGTTTTGTTTTGTTTTTTTAGGCTCTCACTATGTGTCCCTAGCTGTCCTGGAACTTGTAGTGAATACCAGGCTGGCCTCTAATTCAAATATCTGTGGTGCCACCTTTGATACTCTGAATTTAATCGCAGCTAACATTTTTCAGCTTGTTCAACATCTAAGTGGACCTGTTTCCAGGGAGTAAACTCAGAACCCTTTCAAGACGAACATGATTCCACGACAGGGTGAGTAGTTTATTATTACTAATAACAAAAGTAGAGTCAGGCATGGTGGCTCACATCCATCATCTCTAAACTTGAGAGGACAAGGCAGGAGGCTTACCAAAAGTCTGGGCTCTGAGGTTGGTTTGAGGCCAGTGTGGGGTGCAGAGTAAGACTCTAAACACACACACACACACACACACACACACACACACACACACGAGTTTCATTATTCAGGTGCACATACTGTACCATTAACTACCTAGACAAGATTGCTTGTCCTACTCTGTTGCTGGTAGAGCTGGACCTATCAGGCGTTACTTCAGTCTTGTTTATTCAGCCAATGCTTAAGCGCCAAATGCAGAACATTGTGCTCAGAGCTGACACCTGGAAAACAGCAGCATCTGCCCTGGACCTCCCAGGCAGAGCTGGGAATGCCAGAAAGGAGCATGCTCGCAGTGCTGCTGACTTGATTTGGGGGTTTGGGAACCTGAGCTCAAAGGAAAAGTATGGATGAGGACATGGGGGTAGACGTGAAGAACATTCTAGACTAAGGCTTGTTGAGGAGAAAAGGCCCTTGGGCAAGTTCAGCAACCAGCCAGTGTGTCGTCTGTCAGGAGCCCAAAGGGAGTGGTAGGGCAAGATGAAGCAGGTGGAGGCAGGCTTCTTCAGGTTCTTCACAACAATAGGCAAACGAGGAGCTTTTAAAATTGGGAAATGTGTAGAACTGTAAGAGACCAGTGTAGAGTAGGCACAGTGGCTTGCACTTTCAGTAGGAGTGCTGGCTAGCCTGGGTAACGATGAGTTCCAGGCCAGTTGGAGGCCATCTCATAAAACAAAACATCAACAGTAAGAAATCACTGTAGCCATCCAGGTGGGGTCATGTAGGTCTGTCAGGTCATGTGAAGTAGGGACTAGGGCTTCTCTCCTGTCTCTAGGTTAAGGCAGTAACCCTCCATGGGGGATGTGTTCGCAAGGTGTGGAATTGGGGTGGGGGGATGGGAGGGTGGTCAGGGTGCATGTGAGAGGGCAGAGAGGGTAAAAGGGAGGGAGAGGGAGAGGGAACTGGGATGCACATGTAAAATAATAAAATAAATAAATAAATAAATAAAAAAGAAATCTCTGTAGCTAGTGAGAAATGAGCGGTAGGTTAGAGACACAGACACCAGAGCCCAGAGGTCAAAGAGGCAGCGAGGGGAGAGTCTGCTGGGATCATGGCAACTCGGCTCAGGGTGATGGAGAGAGAAACGGGTGTCAGGAGCCTTTTAAGTGGCAACAGTCCAGGCTCTTCATCTAGACACATCCAAGCCCGAGCCTGCCACCCAGAAAAGTCCAGTCATTTAAAATACAATATTTGAAGTCAGGCATGGCAGGGCTGGCCTGCAACCACAGGTCAGAGGCTGAGGCAAGAGCATGGGTGAGTTTGAGGCAAGCCTGGGCTACACAGCAAGCACCAGGGCAGACAGGGCTACATAATGAGACTGTCTCACAAAACAGACAGAACCACCAAAACAAGGGGCTGAAGCTTGGTTTCCAGGACCCACACTGGGTGGATCACAATAGCCTGAAACTCCAGCTCTAGGGTCCTCTTCTGGCTTCTGTGCCTCCCACCCCAACACACTAAAATAAATAAATAATTAAAAAAAAAAAAAAAAAAAAAAAAAAAAAAGCAAACCAACAAAGAATGTAGCTGTTGGAGATTCCTTGGGTTTATGTTGTGTTGTTTTCTTTGGAAAGGCTACTTACCCTCCCTGAACCTTTATTTTCCTGAATGTAAAAATGGGACCGATAGGACCAGATTCACCAAGACTACATGTAAAACACCAAGAACGAGACTTGACTTCAAAAGTCTAGTGCGTCTCAAAGTGAAACAAAGTGGGACGGGGACTTGGTGGTAGGGCAGGAGGGGGCTGATGGGAATGGCAGGGGACTAAGAGGGGGTAGAAGGACAAGTGTGATCAGAACGCATTATACAAATGCATTACGTACATGTATGAAGTCATCGATGCATTTTAAAAGACAAGTGAAGTAATCAGCAATACTGTTAATCCTGTTCAAGGCACTGGGTAACTCCATCTGGGGAGAGGACTTCAAATCCCTGTCCTCCCCACTACACCACACTGTCACCCCCTGCCCAGTGTTTTTAATTAGTTGGGGGACCCTGAAGCAGAATGTTTCTCATGTGGAGGATGCTCCAATGTGCTAAGTGAACTGCAGAACAAACTCATGTGCAAGTGACAGGGACAGAGGCTGTGAGGTGACATGCATTTGAAGTGACTTCCTGGAGATGATACTGCACACAAGGTCTTAGCAGAGGGACCAAATGCAGGAGGCGCCACAACAGACCTGTGTCCAGGCAAGTGCAGTGGCAGCTGCTCTTCACAGAGATTAAGGAAGCAAGCCACTCAGAGCTGTGCGGTAGACAACCTGAACACCAGTGGTCCTGTGCCATATCTATCACATGCAGACTTAGTGTTCATCCTCAGAGGACAGTAGGTAGTGTAGGGGCCCAGTGACTTAGAGGCACACTGCCTTCATTTCCCCAATGCTTTGGCTACCTTGCTATACACTATCACTGGTGCTTGAATGAACTCAAGCCAAGGTATTGTAACTGGCATTTTTTGTGTATCTTTATGAATATGCAGAGTAGAGAGTGGCCTCAAAAGAATGACAAGCAAAGAAGAATCTCTTTGGAGTCTTGGCTCTTTCTGTTCTGGAGAAATACACATGCATGCACACACACACACACACACACACACACACACACACACACACACACACACGCACGCGCGCGCGCGTGCAGGCACAAGCACATCCCCCCTCCCCAAAGAAGAGCAGCTCTGGAAGGATGTGCTTCATTGGCTATAGCAACCACTTTTTCCTGTGCTTGACCCCATGGACCATGAGTGCTATGAAAGGCAGGTCCCTCTATTACAAACACACACACACACACACACACACACACACACACACAGCTGTCCCTGAGCCTAGAGAGAATGCATGTGGGTGGTGCCATACACAGGTAACAATGTGCTTTTGTCTTCTAGAAAACATCCCAAGACTTACCTGACCTGTAACACAGACCCTGCAACACCCTCACCCCACCTCTGTTTCCTCAAGATTCCTGGGATCCAATCCTTATGTGATGGGAATAGCGTGGAAGAAACGGAATCTAAGGTGAGGAGTGAGAAAACCCTCGAAGTTCAGACGTATGGCCTTAAAGAGCACAAAAAGGCTAGCTTTCAAGCATTAGCATATGGGCTTTCAGAAATGTTCTGCTAAAAGCAGTCCTTGCTCAGCACTAACTGGAAACATGGGGCCTCAACAGCCACATGATTTGCATCATTCCTAAACAGGATCCAAAGGAATCTTCCTGGAGACAGCAGTCAGTGGGTGGTACCTCTGCTTCAGGATTCCCCTGGGCCAGCCCTGAAGGCCACAGTCAGGTTCCATTGACCTAGGCTAGGGGTACCAGCTGTTTCCTATGTTCAGACTGGTAACACCAGCCCCTGGGTTACTTTCATACACATGTGTGTCCCTTTGATGGCCCCTAAATTCTTCTTTCTCTCTGCAGCAGGAGCAGGCCAGCAGGCTGTTGGCCTCACCCTCTGATTCATGTTCATCAGTCACGTGTTGATTTTTTTTTTCTTCCTTCCCTTGACAAATACATTCCATCCCAGAGTGGTTTCCTAGGAGACCAAGCCTCAAAAACAGAAATAAACTGTGTGGAAACAGAATGCTCCAAAAATTCCATCTTGTAATGTTTAATAATGAGTAAATCCAATTATCAGAGACATCAGTAAGTTTTTGTAACTAAAATATGTGGACTTTCCCTCTGTAGATTTTAAACTCGGCTTTGGATCATGCCTTAAAGACAGCAACCATATTGAAAAAAACCACTGACCAAATGGTTAAATCCATTGCAGAAGACCTCGCCAAAGCACATCGATGCAGGTACCAACTAAAACCCTGCTAATGTGACCAAAGGTCATATGTTTGGTCTTCTTCTCCAGAGTATTTTACTGAGGACACAATGTAGGAAGATGGCCTTCTAGAAAAAACACTAAAACTGTAAGAAATGAACCATACGAAGGGCTTAAATGAAACAAAAAAAAAAAAAAACAAAAAACAAAAAGCAAACAGCCCTCTGGAATTTATATATTTATGTGAAAATAAATCTATGTTCCTCCTAATTCACAATACAATAAAAACAACAAAAGAAATATTTTTATCCATTAGTCTGGAAAGTTTCATAAAATTGGGTCAGTGAGATGGGAAACAGACACTCTCAAATGCTGCTGCAAGGCAACATGACACCATTCCCCAACTTACAATGGCTCACATCCTGATAAACCCATAATGAAGTCAAAGGATTTCAAGTAAAACATGCTAGGAATAAGCTGACTACATAATTGCTTAGGGACACTACGTAAAATACCCACTATTTCTCCTTGCTAGTGCACAGCTCTCTGGGAGTCAGGGGGCTGCTGCCCAGGGGCAGGAGTGTACTCTGCTGTTTTATCATTGGCCTGGGGAAAGATAAAAATCCAAAAGTGAGGGCTGGGGAGATGGCTCAGCAGGTAAAGGCATTGGCTGCAAAAATGTGACAACCTAAGTTAGATCCTAGGGACCCACTTGGTAGGAGGAGAGAACCAAATTCTGAAAGTTGTTCTCTGACCTGTGTAACACACACACACACACACACACACACACACACACACACACACACACACAATAACATTTTAAAAATTCAAATTAGAGAGCCAGGTGGTGGTAGAGCACACCTTTAATCCCAGCACTGGGGAGGGGAGACAGAGGTGGGTGGACAGATCTCTCTGAGTTTGAGGCCAACTTAGTCTAGAGTTCCAGAACACGTTCCAAAGTCACACAGAGAAACCTTGTCTCAAAAAGCCAATTTAAAAAAAAATTCAATTGAATGCATATCAGTTTTATACTGTCATTTAGTTGGAAAAAAAATTGTAAGTTCAACCATTGCTAAGTCGAGAACTGTATTTACCAAATTCCAAAAAGCACTTAGCTGGCCAGCAATCCATCTGCTAGGAACTTGTAGGAAAGTCACACAGCTCACAGCAAGCTACCAAACACATCCAAGAAGGGCCACCATTCACTCAGGGTCCTGAATGCTAACTGGGAGTTGTGGGGTCTTGGAACAATGACCACCACATCATCTTGGGCAACACAGTAAGTTGTACTTCTGCAAAGAGGTGTGTAGCCACAAGCCAAGCAGGTCTGTATCCCGTCCTGTCAGTCCTGTTGAGTTTCTATTTCTAACGCAAAGGCCTCTCTCAGTGGCCAGAGCTGAGCCCTCACACGGTGTTAACTAGAAAAGGGATCAGCCTAAAAGCAAAGTGTAAGGCTAGCCCAAAAGAGATGGATGCAAGGCAAAATGGCAGGGACGTGTGCCAGACGGTGTATTTACAAATTTCCTTGAAGGTGAAACTTCTCTGCATCATTCACCAGAAAGGACAGTATGTTTCCTTTCCCTTTCCCACAGTAGGTAAGGAGGGATACTCTGCAGACACTGGGAAGGATGAGACAGAGAGCAGTCAGTTGTGGTGAAGTGTGGAAACCTGAAGGGGTTGAGAATCAGCTGTTACTGCACCTGGGCAGGCCTATGAAGGCATTTTCAGAGACTGTGCTTAACCGTGGTGGGAAGAAATTCCCTGAATGCCTGGCATTCAGGGCCTTGGGCTGAGGAGCAGGAGCAGTCACCCCATTGATTCTTGGATGAGAACAGTGTGACCAGCCGCTGTCAGATGTCGTCCTCTTCCATGGTAGGCTGGAGCCCTTCTTACACCATGAACCAGACTACACCTTCGTACTAGAACTTGCCTTTGTCAGAGTGATGAGAAAAATAACTAATACAGAAACCAGGGACCGAGAGGCCGGGCTGCTGCTGAGGTAAACCTTTGGAACTGGTTTGAGAGAGGAGTGTGGAGTCTGGCGTTGTTGGCTACAGCAGCAATAGAGTGGGATAGCAGGGCTTGTAGTGTTCAGGTGGGCGAGGAAGAATCCCAGGATGCTGAGAGGAATGTGGGCCGTGGGGTTTCAGAGCAGATTGAGAGATCTTGTCACATTTGCTCTAGAGTCTGGCGGCATTCTTCCCGTGTCCCGAGAACGAGTGAGGTGGATGAAGGAACTGAGACACACTGTATGGGTTAGCCGTCCTGCGCTGTTTAAATGTGCCGAGAGTGTTCTGGGTGAAGAGGACTCCAGGATGTTTATTCAAGTGTCCTCCAAAGCTCCCTGGCCTGAGTCTTCCCATGTCAGTTAGACTCTCTAGAAATACTCTCACAGACATGCCCACAGTTGTCTCATAAACCATTCCAAGTCCTGATAGGCTGATGATCAAGATAACTGTCACAAGTCCTCCCTGGACAACGTGACACCCAAAACACTCTCTTTTTAAAGTATGGCATTCCACTCCTGGTCCCAAAAGTCTCATGCATTTAGTCCATTCCTAAACATCCCCAAACTAGAGTCACCTGAGAGGAGGCTCAGCTGCTGAACTGCCTCCATCAGATTGGCCTGTGGGCACATCTATGGGGTTTTTCTTGATTAATGTTAATGATTCATGTGGGAAGACCAAACGCATGGTGGGCAGTGTTACCCCTGGTCAGGAGGCCCTTCATTGTATAAGAAAGCAGGTTGAGCAAGCCACCAGGAGCAAGTCAGTGAGCAGCCCTCCTCCATGGTATCTGTCCAGTTCCTATCTCCAGGTTCCTGTCATGACTTCCCTAGAGACTGTAAGCCAAGGAAGCCTTTTCTTCCCTAAGTTGCTTTGGTCACGATGTTCATCATAGCATTTAGTGAGCTGAAGTAAGTTCACCAGAGAACACACATGGACGTTCTAAAAGCTGAATAGAAAGTCTGTCACCTGTCAGCAGCTGCAGGGAGGACATGCCCAAATCATGCAGCCCTAATCCCACAGCTGTCTTTTATACACAACAACTACATCCTGTGTGGCATGCTTCTGTTAGCAAGACGCAGAACTACAGAAACCAATAGCAAGGTTAGTACATCTAGGGACTTTCCTGGGTCCTGGAACCATGGACCAGGTCTTTGATGGATTGGGTCTTCGTTCCTGTTTGGGCTGGTGTTGGGTTTTAAGGTCAGAATGGTGTCTCTAACTTGGCATCAGTTATGGTAAGGTCTGGGGCCCTGTTATACTAGAAGACAACTGTTATACCCATTTTGCCCCTCTCCTCTCTTTTGGGATGATGTTTGCTCTACCCTAGTGTATACCTGAAGTATGTAACTTGCTTATTTTATAGGGGCTTACAGTTAAAAGAGATTGCTTTCAATCTCAGAGGAGACTCTCAGAGAAGCCCGGTCAACCCAAGCTGACAAGAAAAAGTCCCCTCTGCTTCACCACGGAACGACACTGGGACAGGACTTTGAGGGATGGACTAAATGCATTTTGTATGAGATGAACTTGAGACCTGGGGGGTCCAGGAATGTTCTGATTTAAAACAATGTGTTTGAGTGTTAGGCTGACAAGGGGCAGGCTTGTGACAGTCAATCTTGATTGTTAACCGACAGGACTTGGAACTGCTTAGGAGACAACTTCTGGGGACGTCTGTCTGTGCAGGCATTTCTCGAGTGTTTAAATGAGGTGGGAAACCCACCCTGAATGTTACCCCATGGGCTGGGGTCCTGCACTGGATAAATGGAAGTGCACAGAGCATCAGTAGTCATCACTCTCTGTTCCTGACTGTGGCTGCAACATGACCAGATGCCTCACATTCCTACTGTCATACTTCCTTGCCTTGATAGGCGAAATCCTCAAAACTTTGAACAACATAAACCCTTCCTTCCTAAGTTGCTTTAGTTAGGTGTTTTGTCAGGAATGAGGGAAAACAAGTAACTAACACAACAGCAAGAGATACAGGCATCTAACATCCGTGCAGGCTCCATTTTTTACAGGGCTTGCGAATTTTCTAGAATGATGCACAAAAACCTTAAGTGAATTATATGGAGTAAAACTGAGTTTGGGAGAAGAAGGACTTTCTACTTCCCGTCCTTTACTGTTCTGTGTGGGGCTCTTGTGTTATTTCTTTATTAGTTTGCTTTCTATTGCTGTGACAAAACATTATGACCCCAAACAACTTTCGGGTAGGGTGGGTGGATTGTTCATTTGGCTTACACTTCCCAATCACAGTGTTAGAGGTTAGTCAGAGCAGGGGCAGAGGCAGGAACTTCAGAGCAACACTGCTTACTTACTGGCTTGCTTTCTTAGGCAACCCTGGACGACCTGCCCAGGGGTGGCATCACCCAGAGCGGGCTGGGTCTTCCCACATCAACCAACCCTCACAAAAATGGCCCACAGACAAGTCCATGGGCCAATCTGGAGGAATTTCTCAACTGAGGGCCCTCTTTCCAGGTGACTCTAGTTTGTGTCAAGTTAACAAAAACTAACGAGAGCTATGTTTATGATATGTTTATAGTAGAGGCGTTTAATGATCTCTTGAACTCAAGAATATATAAAGGGACAGCCCTAAATAACATTTTAAAACTGTTTATCAGGGGTTGTATCAGTCAGGGTTCTCTAGAGAAACAGAACTTAACAAATGAATATACGAGTATCACACTGGGTGGGATGATGGGTCAGCTCGTGGTGGGAGGAGTGTGGCAGAGGCTGTTACTACCATGGTCACCCAGGAAGCAGATACACAGCGGAACCTCAGGCCAAGGATCAGCTTCAAAGGCCCACGCTCCCAATAGCTTGTTCCTGTTAGGTTGGCCCCACCTCGTAGAGGCTCCTCAGCTTCCCATAATGGCACCAGTAACTAGGGAGGAGTATTTAAACCATGGCCTACAGAAACCCTTCAAATTGAGACTGCAACACAGGCAATGACCTAAATGGATCTGGGAAAGTGCCAGGCTCTGACTTACAGGGGTACTTGCTGATTCGGTAACTTGGCCTGTCTCTCCTCAGAGCATATGTGCATTTAACTATAACTTGACAATCCATTTTGTATGCCAAGTATCATTATCCCACCCTCAAGTTTAAAATTGCACCCTTCTGGGCTAAGAAAAGGTACCTTCTGCTAAGCCTGGCAACCTGAGCTGGATCCCTGA